TCATTAACTTTCACCAACACATCTTCAACCAACCCATCAGGATATGCATTATTTCGGTCAGCTAATTGAATGATTATTCCAGTTTCTTTTAATGGACCTAATTTCAGAGAAGCATAGATAGATTTAGGCATGACATTAATTGATGCTCTCAGATCCAACATGGCCCTTCTAATCACAGTATTGCCTATCCTACAGGGGATAGTAAACATACCTGGGTCCCCGCACTTTGGTGGAAACTTTCTCTGCAGGACCGCAGACACATTTTCTCCAACAATAATCCTTTCATCTCCCCTCAACCGCCTTCGGTTGACGCACAAGTCCCTTAAGAACTTGACATATTTTGGTACTTGTTTGATTGCGTCTAAGAGAGGGATATTTATCTCTACCTTGCGAAACACTTCCAAGATTTCCTTCTCCTTATCCTGTTTTTTCGATTTTTCCAACCTATTAGGAAAAAGAGGCGGGTTAGTTTTAACTGTAATTATTGGGTCAAGAAGTACCTTTGAATCTGCACCATTGTTGTCCTCCCTCTCAAGCTCATTCTCGATTTTCTCCTCATCCTTGTCCTTAGGGATCACAGGCTCAAGCCCTTGAACCTCCTTGCCACTCCTTAAGGTCATGACGCTCACGTTCTTCAGGTTCAACTCAGGTTGAGATGGCAGCTTCCCTTGAATTTGGGATTCCAAACGGTTGATCGTGATGGCCATTTGATTTACTTGACTTTGCAATGATGGCACTTGTCCTAGTTGATTCCTCATGATTTGCAGGTTTGAATCCGTCTTTTGTTGGTTCGCAAGTAACTGTTTCATCATCTCTTCCATGGACGGACTCGAGTTCGGAGGGGGTGGTGGTTGGCGAGGCTGGTACTGCTGCCGGTACCCTTGCTGCCTATTTGGTACGAAGTTGGACTGCCTATTCCCTCCATAGCTGAGCTTGGGATGATCTCTCCAACCGGGATTGTAGGTACTTGAGTAAGGGTCGTACTGCTTTCTTGGCGCAGGCGCGTGGCCAATCATGTTTACCTGTTCTGCACTTTATTCCTGAATCATTGGGCACATGTATGCAGAGTGACCCATACCAGTGCAAACCTCACATACCTTGGCTTGTGATGCATTTCCCACAGCCAGTTGCCTAACGAAGGATGTCAACTCACTTAGTTGCTGCTGGATAGAGGGTGTCTCTACCTCATTTACCTTGCATATTAGAGCATCCTCCCTTGTACCGAATTGTTGTGAATTCTCTGCCATTCCCTCAATTAACTCCCTAGCTTCCCGAGGGGTCTTGTTTACCAGTGCCCCTCCACTCGCAGCATTAATGATACTCCTGTCTCTGAAGAGTAGCCCTTCGTAAAAATATTGTATAAGCAACTGCTCACTTATTTGGTGCTGGGGGCATTTGTTGCACAATTTCTTGAATCGCTCCCAGTACTCATAGAGTGACTTCCCTGGGTGCTGCTTGATACCGCAAATTTCTTTCCTTAGACACGCAGCTCTAGACGCAGGAAAATATTTATCTAAAAATTTTTTCTTCAACTGATCCCACGTGGTGATGTTACCTGGTGGTAGGTAGTACAACCAATCTTTTGCAGAGTCCTTCAAGGAGAAGGGGAATGCCCTCATTTTTATTTGCTCTTCTGTAATACCCGGGGGTTTCATACTGTTACACATGACATCAAATTCCTGCAGATGCTTATACGACTCTTCACTTGGTAAACCATGAAAAGAGGGTAAAAGATGAATCAGACCAAATTTTAGTTCAAATGGAGTGTTGTCATTTAAGGTGAGGAAGGTAATGCATAGAGGCTGCTAATTTAAATCAGATGCAGCCAACTCCCTTAATGTTCGTGCATTAGCCATGGTTCCTTCCTCCTGGTCAGAGTCACTTGAAGTGTCACCAAACGAATCTGTTGGTTTAACTTCTGACTCAGGTCTCTGAGATGCAACGCTGGAGTACTCCTCTCTGAGTTGTCTGGTTTCCTTTCTTGTCCTACGCGCGATCCTCTCTATTTCAGGGTCGAAAATCAAGTTACCTGTACGAGAAGACCGAGACATACACTAGAAAAATACCAGAAAATTAGATCAAAAAATGAATTTAAAAAGAAACAAATAACTAGCGCCAGTCCCCGGCAACGGCGCCAAAAATTGACAGGGTGTCGAAGCCTGTACAATAATAAAATTAAACCTAATTGCCAGTTGAAATGACCAAAACCCAATTCCAAGTACTGGAGCAGGGACTCTAGGTGTGCAATGGGTTACTTGATTCATCCTATTTTCGAAGAGTTTGCTTGATCCGATATACCCGAATGGGATGATTATTTTTGCACAAATAATTATGAATTCGTAGACAGGGCAAGTAGGGTCGTATCCACAGGGATTGGGTATATTTGTTTCTTAAGAAATCCAAAGTAACACAGGAGGTGATTTTGTAGAAACGATGACAATCAAATACTTCAAATAAGAAAGTAAAAATAAATAACTAACTAGAAATTAAACCACAGTTTACTGAATTTAGAATAACAATAATTAAAGGCCTGAATCAATTAAAACAAGAAAATAATTAAAAATAAAATAAAGTAGGCAACTACAAATCAAATGGCAATTCACTAAAATCAAAGTAATATTAATTAAGGATCTATCCAAGAAGTAACTTCAGCAATGGTTCACCTAATTGATCATCGATGCAAAGCCAATTCCAATTATTTACCAATAAATAGGTTATAACTACCAAACAAGCGATGTCAGCCAACCCCTCCTTACTATATCGGTGATCAAGGTACGCCCGTTAATCACTGCTCTAATTAGGAAATAATCTTAGGTACGCCCGTAAGATTTAATTCCCCAATTACCTTACGTATTAGAGGAGTCTTATTCTAACCAAATAACGCACTACCAGGGTTATTTCAGATTAGCCCGCGTATTCCTCTGACACGAATCTAATCGTGCTAGTTGTCACTATTTCAGGACAATTAAACAATTACAGATTTAATGCCCTAATTGACAATAAGTTACCAAATCAATTAATTATCCGGATCCAAGACAATCAATTAATTAAATAACCACAAACATAGCAATCAAGGAATATGCGAATACTAATAAATAAATAGAAAGATTAAATTAAATCGATCTCACAATTTTTTTAGGTTAACCAGAGCTTTCGTTGCTTCTTGACTAGAATCAGAGAATTAACTCATGTTCGATGTGAAAAACCCGCAAGAAATTGTAAAGAGAGCCGCAGCCATAGTCCCTTGAAATTGGGGAAGTTCAATTGTTCAATTACGAAAGAAAGGAAAAACTGTTGCAATACAACTGATTGTCAGCATACGAAGTAGGCAAAGTAGCTTCAAAAGCTAAAAGGGAGATAAGTCAAAAAGGTAAGCTAAAGCCAAAGGTCCTCCATACTAGAGGGAAAAGCTACCCAAGGAAAGTCAAAGACTAAAGCTTCCAAGCAGTCCGCCCTCTCTGCTGCTCAATTCCTATCTATTCCCCCACTTTTTCCTTTTGGCGGCACACCAGGAGAAAGAAGCCCTTCATCCGTCCTTGCTTCGCAGAAATTACCATAGTGGGCATGATGTTTTCTTTTCCAAAAATGCCCCTAGGACAAGCTCTATCATTTGGACTCCTTTTCTGTCAAATTGGCACCTGTTATTATATTTTCGTTATATTCCCTGAAATATATGCAAATTACGAAAAGTGAGTAGAATCTACTAATTAATCCACATCAGGTCGGGTAATAGGGGAAATTAATAATAAAATAAATGATAAAATTGCAGACTATCACAGAATGATTTTCTGGAGAGCATGGATAAAACTAGCTCCAGATAGCATATGGAATTAGGGGTATGAACCAGTCTAATCAAATCGAATACCTAATGTTCAAACTTGTTTGATTATTTTAACAAATTTGAAATTTTATTCAAACTTGACTTATTTATTTGCTGAATCAAGTTTGAATGAATTTTTTTTAATCGAGTTTGAATGTTATTTAACACAAAATATAATTCAATCTTGATTTGACGAGTTGGCAAACTGATTCCAAACGAGCTTTTACCAAGTCGAACTTAATTCAACTATCAAATAACTTAATTCATCTGTTAGCCTTATATAAAATTAGTTAGGTGAATACCGACTTCTAGTATTTTTTTTTTTAATAAGATATTTAGTGTGTGATACTTGAACTGAAGGGGCTGTTGCATGAATGCAGTTTAAACTCAAATTACGTAGATATAGTAAGAGGAGATATGTAGTCAAGACACTGGCTGTGAGTAAACAACAGATACCAAGTTGTTAACCATTACATAATGAGTTAAGAATACATTAAATATTTTTCTCATTCGGTACAAGTCTAAATTGAAAAAAAAAAAATCATGAGTTTTGTATTTTTCTTTTTCAGTAAAAACGAGCGATGATGAGAGGTAGAAGACCTTGATATCCCTGGCTATCTGTTTATGGACATAAGCAACAACGCCAAATAGATATTCTTAGAGAACATTATATACAATAATTAGTAGGTTAATCTTTCTTACACTAATAGTACACTTACTGGGAGACTTGGACGATTGACAATTATGTGAAGTCCAAATTTTATATTTGTATATATAAAATTTACTCATAATTATTAGCCGGTCTGACTAATTGACCCCAAATTAAGATAGCCAATTATGGTTGTCAAACAAGGGAAAAGTTTTTTAAAAACAAATTTTGTTTGGCTACATAAAACGGACTGCTTCCTATTGGAAATCTATGAATTTTGCATTGAAATTCTCCGGCAACCAACTGTTTACAATTTTTTTTTTTCCATTTATGACCAAAAATTTTCTTACTGCATGAATTTCACCCGGAAATTTAGGTTTGACATGTGACATAACAAACGACAAGCGTAACCGGTAAAGTGCTAAAAGCTTTACTCCAACTAATAATCTGTCCAAGATCAACTTAAATTGGCATAGTTATTCGCATAAATCTTTGACATTTTCTTTGCCCCCTGATTATCAATCTAATGTCTAATGTAATACTTTCCAGGAATACCATATCACACGAGAAACATACTCGAATTGAAGACCGAGTTCATTTCGCCTAGCCTGCTACATTAATATTACAACATTGAACCACTTACATTCCCATTCGCAGGCAGGTTCCTGACTGCTCATTTTACAGGAACACGAGGCCATGAACAGCTGGTGTAACCATGTTCTAGTGCAGGAGCGTGCCGCGCGGAGGGGCACATTGGCTGCTGCAGGATCAACTGAAAAGGGACCAATTGTGTGGCGTAGCATTACAATTATCAACACTTTATTTAAAAGAGTGCTAGAGTGAACAATGTCCAGGGACCGTAGAAAGCGAGTGGTTGTACCATCGTACATTCTGTACAATCTCACCACATTCCACAAACCTACTAGCTTGGTAGATGTGGATTCAGGCAGCTTCAAATGTTACTGCCTCGGTTGTAAATATAAGATTTTGCAAAATACAGATAAGCAATTAATGCCATTGCACTAAGCGTAGCAAGCAGCCAGTAAAAATAATCAAGGTGTGCCCTATTCAAGTTGTCGGCGAACCAGCTATCCCTTCCATCCCCGCCTGTTGCTTTCTCAATGATAGAGATCAGAAAACTGCTTAGGAAGCTCCCTATGCCAAAGATACTGAGGTAAAGAGCGAGGCCTATGCTTTTCAATTCACTGGGCATCTGGTCGTAGAAGAATTCTTGCAAACCAACCATGGTAAATGATTCAGAAACTCCCAAAAGCACATACTGAGGTATCAGCCATGCCACATTCATCGGAACTGTTGCACCTGGCTTATCGACCAACCCATACTCTTGAGCAGTTTCAAGACGCTTCATCTCAACTAGAGCAGCTATAAACATGGAAAGACAGGATATAACTATTCCAGTTCCAATGCGTTGCAGCATTGTTATACCTGACGGTTTTCTGGTTATTGCTCTTGCGATAGGAACCAAAATGCGGTCATAGATAGGGATAAAGACAAATATTGAAAAGCTGATAAATGTTAATAAGGAAGCAGCTGGCACTTCAAAGCTTGGACCAATAGATCTATCCATAGTAACTCCTTGCTTGGTAAACAAAGTGGATGATTGTGAAAATACAATTGCATAAACCAAACTCGTGACCCATATTGGAAATAGCCTAACAACTGCTTTGGCCTCTTCAATCTCACTGATGCTACAAACTTTTCCATCTTCCTTTGAACCATCAGCTTGCACCAATGCTTTGTTCAGAAACCTATCACAAATACAATAAAAGTGGTCAAGTCAAGCAATTTTGATTCTTGGCCTCTGATTATAAGGTCTCTGAAGCTAGCAGAAAATCATGAAATCACTTATCAATGGAAAAGTTATTTAAAGTCAATAAACGCAATTTTACGAAGAGTAGCTGTAAAATCATGTAAGAATAAAATCATTAACTTAAAATTCTCAGGAAAGTTAAATATAGGTTTAGATCATCGCTCACTTGAATTGAGCTGAACCTTGGTAAGGCAAAATGCCCTTAGACTCCTCTTCCATAGATATTGCAGAAGATGTGGTTCTCCAATTCCTCGCTGCATTCACAAAAACCCGGCCTATTCTTACAAAAGGACTCATCTCATCGCTATGGACATGGAATCGATAGGTCATAGTTCCAAGCAGAAACAAGATAAGTGCAACTCCCATGACGAGACAGGGAATTCCAAATCCAAGACCCCAGCTAAGATTATCCTGAATATAGTTCAGAATCGACAAGGCGACCATGGTACCTCCACACATACCAAAATACCACCAATTGAAGAATGAGCTTTTGGCTTTACACTCTTCTGGATCTTGTCCATCAAACTGGTCAGCTCCAAAAGCTTGAACGCAAGGCTTATGCCCTCCTTGGGCTAATGCCACTAGATACAATGAAAAGAAGAAGAAAATAATTTGGAACTCAGGTGGAGAACATGAAATAACATTCTCTATAGGCTGACACTCAGAAGACTTGAAAGAGGGAAGAACAGCTGAAATCGTCAAGAAGCCAAGTCCCTGTCATTCAATGAAATCCAATGATTAACTAAGTGTTTCACAAGAATATTACAGTTGTTAAGATGATAATGGTCAATTTTGTTCACTGAGTCAAAAATCTCCAATATGCAATGAAGCTCATTCTTTCATATTCTGATCAATTTATTGTTTCTTCCATTGGTAACTTTGTTGTTCAAATCTGAAGCATCTTTTTCATGCAACAAAGAGTAATTCTTATATAACTATAGCCAGTAAATTGACTTTTTGAGACAAATAACACAACACCAGAATCAATTTGCTAACATATTTGATATGTAATACTACTCCTAAAATTAAGGAGAAATATAACTATATTAATTTTAGTGCTTATTACATCCAAAATAAAGTAGTACTCAAACATAAAACCAAATTATAAAAAAAAATGCAAACAAGGGCTAAAGACAATACAAAGTGCAAAAAAAATTCACATAACCTAGAATTCGTGTCACAGCTGAATGGTCCAGTTGCATGGTACATTTAAGTTATTTTGAGCTTATTTCATTGATTTTTGACCTATGGACTGGCTTAGATATATGTAGGTCCAATATGCTCCAACTAATCTAGCAAAAACAGAATTCAGGCATTCGGTTGTTAAAGGCTATAAATGTGCTAGAATTCTTGGCTGAAAAATTCCCATCCTTTAGCAAGCTCAAACTCAATTTATCTTACCCGCCTCTAAGAAAGTAATTTCTCAATGGAAGCAGAGGAGGTTGCTCCATCATAAGCGTGGCTGTCAGAAATAAGCAACCCTCTCAAGCTAGCAGCATAGATCAAAGAAACCCCAAGGCAGAAGGATGTAAGCTCCTCTCAACCACTGATTCCTAAAGTTTTAAAGATCACTGTATTCTAAAGCATCAGCATGCAACCCATCTCAACTTCATCAAGCTATTGCTACTTTGCTCTACTGGCCAGCAAAGGCCAACCGAGAGGGGAGAACGAATGGCTTAGAAATCAACCAGTTCCAAGCAGACTCATCGAGCTCCTGCCTGGGTTATCGTAGAATAAGAGGAGCCATCTTAGGAAATGACTTCACTTAAAAGTCAGATGCCGCTGCTGCGGGGTGAGGGAGCAACTTCTCTGGTCTTGCAGAGCACTCGTTCCTGTTGCAAGAGTGAAAATGACACCCCAGCTTGACTCCACTTGTTTTATCATTTATCTTGAAATAATGAATTGAGTCCGTATAGGCATTTTGGATGCCGCTATTGAAATAGCCCTTCTCGCTATATTTTCTGTTACTCCACCCATTTCATAAAGTATCCGACCCAGTTTAATAAAAGCTACCCAATATTCAGGGGATCCTTTTACCGAACCCGTACATACATATGCTCAACCACTATTATATCCCCAGTCAGAAAACTGAAGATCCCCTAATGTCCCGGTCACAAAAAAATAAATTGCACCTGAAACTCAACCAAATGAAACAGCAGTCCCTAAAACAAAAAGCCCCATTATCAATGAAATATGAAGCTTTCAAATTCAAGTGCAACGGCCTACCAACTACTGGATAGATCATGTAAGCCAACAATTCAACAACGTTACCAAACATAGTACTGCCTAATTCCTTGTTTGGGACCACATTTTAGCCGGTGTAGTAAAAAATTTGCAACATGCCATAAATAATGCTGGTGGCTTAAAAGGATTGGACCAAAAAAAAAATTGAAGTCACAAAATTATAGCATTACCCCCACCCCCCGGCCCAAAACTCTCTTTATACCTCGAAATACAACCTTTTTTCAGTATTATGCATTACAAATGATAATGCACAATGAACTAAAGCATGAAGTACAAGCAGAACGAATGTGAAAAAGACAAAAGCACCACAAACTAAGCACAAGGGACAAGTACATGGAAACAAGCTAAAGAAAGTACCACAGAATTAGCACAAGGTACAAGCAGTAACTAACCAGGATATAAAGCACGGAGGCAATTACAATGGTGCGATAACGACCCAGAAACGAGTCAGCTATAAAAGCACCCAAAAGTGGTAAAAGCGACGCCGTGCCCGACCAAGCATTAACGTTCTCCGCCGCCGTAGCGGTGGATTGGCCAAGTGGGCCCGTCAAGTAATTTATTAAATTCGAACTTATTCCGTAATAAGCAAATCTCTCAGCCACCTCAACACCTTCAGAAAAAACGAAAATGTAAAAAAAAATAATAGTAATAAAAATCAATTAGAATCTTGTCTTCTCCGAATAAAAATGACCGAATAAAAATGAAAAAAATTTTGGTTAGAGATGAATTGGTTTATGGTACCTATGATGAAAGATGCGGATCTCCATCGACCGGATTTGGATCGCTTGACCGGACGACCTTTGTAGTCAAAGCTTCCTTCGACGACGTCGTCTAACAAAGGAGTTTCGACAGCCTCAGTGGCTGTAGAGATGGCGGCCATGATTCAAGTCTCCGGCCAGCCAGCCGCCAGCCAACGGAGCTGTAGTTTTCACTGGCGCGGCGAGCTAGCTGTATTTTTTCTTTTTTTGGTGGCGGCTGGTTATGCGATAAGGAATTATGTGGCGTTGGCGTGCTAACTCCTTTTTTTTTTCCCCTTAATCTTGTTTTGCCCTTTTTTTTGGGCTATTTTTTGTACTTTTTTCCTCCTGCTTTTCAGCTAATTTCTATGAATATGTTTATGGCTTTGTTTTTTTTTTTTTGGCTATTTTTGTAGGAAAATGATGGGGAATAATTTCAGAAACCTCTCTTGAGATTTTTAATAATTACAGACAGTACCCCTCTAATTTTAGTAATTACACCTACACCCCTTCATGTTTCTAGTAACAGAAAAATTCACTTCACTTTTGCGAGCAAAAATATATAATGAATATTCTAAAATGTCCTTTTTATACTTTTTTTTTGATTGGTTGTCAAACCACTCCACTTATCTCCAACTCCAATTGATTCCTATATTCAATCACGTTTGCCATTAGCTTTGGAGTTCCTGACTTCCTCTTCCCTCCCGCACCATCATATTCAATCACCGGAATGCAACCGTTCTTGAAGGTTCACGGCCAAAATTGATCAAAAAAAGGGATAATTTCAGAAACCTCTCTTGAGGTTTCCAGCAATTATAGAGAGCTCCCCTCAAGTTTTAAAAATTACACCTACCTCTCTTGCTTTTGAGGTTTATGTAACAATATAGACCCAATAGTCCAAATCTTTTTACAAATATCCTAAAATATCTTTCTTCTAAAGAACAAGACAAAACAAACACAAGGTTTTAATTTTAACTTCTTGTACGTGACCTACTCACTAAAGTAAACAAAGTCCAATGAATCCAACTCATCTCAAAGTTCATTACTTGCTAATTCTTATCTAATGCAACTCCCTACCACCACTATCAATACTAAACAAAAAATGCCATCATGTCCCTAAGAACACAATTCATCATTACTCTAGCACTCTTAGAAATAGAGGCAAAATTCTACTTTCATAGTAAAACCATAATCAATAGGTAAATAAAAGAGATTTTTAATTACTAGACTTTTTGGTTTAACAAACATAACAGTCACTTTTTTATCTTCTAACTCTCAATTTCATTTTTTTGCCTCTATCGTTGCCAACTTTTTCATCTTGCCCTAGTTTGACAATAAAATTCACTGTCTGCACCTTGTTAAATTTGTAACTTGAATTGGCTAACATTTGTAAAGAGTAAAACTTTTTTTGTATTTTTTTTATTTTTAAAAAGAAAGAGTCTAAAATTTTTATAGTAAGAAAGAGACAGAAAGACAAAAAAGTATAGATAAATTTTGGAGATGGTAAAAAATTGATAGTGGTGTGATTGGTAACAATAAAGTGCAGTATTTGGTGAAAGGAAGAAGTAGTTGTAGAAGAAAAGAGAGAAGAGTATGAAAGAGGGATGGAGGGAGGGAGGAAGAGATGACAATTAGAAAATTGATGGAGATTATTCTTTGAGATTAGGAAATGGCAAGTAGAATAATAAGAAGTATTTTTCGGCTTTAAATGTCCCTTAAGTGGAGGATATTTTAGTTATTTGATTGGATCAAGGGAGGTCTATGTAATTATTGAAACCTCGGGGGAGCTGAGTGAAATTGTTAGAAACCTCAAGGAGGTTTCTGCAATTATCTCCAAAAAAATGTAAGGTCCAGATTACATTTGTACATCTTTCACATCATGTGTGGGATCCATAAAATTTTGTTCTATAATTACATGTTGTGAATACAAAGTTACATTTTATATATTTTGTACAAAACTGACTCAAAAGGTTTTCTTGACAACGTTTGGGCCCGTATCCTTCAAACACCAAAACAACCCCAACCAAAACTCCTTTGACTTTTACTACTATCACTGTCATTATTCCGGGCCCGGATTCGACCCGTTTATCCGACGGATCTTCTACTCTATATTTCAGATCCGGATCCGACGGGTTTTGGATCCGAATCGGATCTATCTGAAAAAATTTATCGAAACTTATAAATTCTAATAAAAATGAAAAAAATATATTTGTAAACTAATTTCCAACTAATACAAAAAAAACCAAATAAGAAAAGAAATCAAATTGACTTTACTCAAATACATCACCCTAATCAAATTATATTGATAAATATATATTTTAAATTATTAATCCATTTATATCCATATTCGGGTCTAATACGGGTCAAAATTCTATATTCCGTATCCGACCCATTTTTTTGTTTAACAAAACGGATCCGGATCCGAGTAATGGAATTAAATCCCTACCTATACCCGCAATAATTTTACAGATCCAGTCCGGATCCGGGTCTAGACTCGGACCGTTGACCGGCCTACTTTGAACCCACATCAAGATCCAAGTACTCTACCAACGGATCCACCAATCTTTCCCTATTCACCGTCCAATTAATCCCACAATTGATCAGCCATCACTAACATTCACAAGCATGAGGGCCATACCCAACAAATTACTCAAAAAAATAGAGAAATATTAAAAGTGCAATGTTTCAGTGCACCAACCTAAACAGAAAATCAGAAAAATTGAATCCTTGAATGTCATCATGGGAGCAAGAATCAAGAGAATTTTTAGCGACTACAACCTTCCACACTAACCATGGCCCTCCAATTCCCTGCTCCATAATTTTCTTACCGGTGCTTGTTTTAAGCAATTTATAGTTAGGATATATTAACCATGGCCACTGATTGTACATAAAATTCTCCTCTAATTTCTTAGCAATAACATGAAATCCACAAGTAATTGCAAAGGGACTTCAAAATCAAAACCAGTATCCACAACTTAGTTGTCACTGTCCCAAAACAGTCCATGGGTAAACAATAAAAGGACACAGCAATTGGTACCAAATAATATAAGAATTTACGGATTAGATGGAAGTGGAAATAATGGTGGCAACTTGTTGTGGTCTATGAAGGAGAAGGAAAAAATAAATAAATGTTAGAGTTGGGGAAGGATTTGGGGCTAAGTAATGGAGGACTGGGAGGTTGGGGGAGGAGTTGGCCACTTCTCTTTTGCAAGGCATGAAAGACTCTTTGATGGAAATTGCTGCAGTCTTAAGCTTAAGTAGGGAGATAAATTTCGGCAGGAAAACTCTTTAAAAACTCTCTAGTACTTCATAGGGAATGCTAGAAACTTTTTAAGGAGTGCCAGTAACATCTCCCGGCACTAGGCACGCTTTTATTTTTCTACACTCGGCGGCTTTCTTGTCTTTGGCTCACAACAAAAAAAAAAAAAAAAAAAAAAGGACTCTTGGAAACAATTGCCTCCATGCAACCAGCTTAGCTTAAACGATTTTTGGATGAACTGGACGGCTACAATAGGACGCAGATTTGAAGCAGCAGAGGCGGAGCTAGGGGCGTAACCCACATTCCCCACATAATTCTACTATTGCCCAAATTATTTAAAAAAAATTTCAGTTATGCCCTTAATATGACTCATGCAGTTTTGAAAAATTTTCAGTTGAACTCCTATTGTGTTGTTTAGAAGTAAATATAAGTAATTAGTTTTGTAACTTAATGGAAATGAAATGTTACAAGATTCAAACAGTGGCCTTCTACATTATTAAAATGAATTTTGTGAATGTTTTCAACAAAAGTAAAAATATAGAGCAATTGTGTTGCTTAGTAAAAATAAAGTAAACGTAATTTTTTCCAATAAGTGGAAGGACTTTTTCAATAAAACAAGAAATTTCCTGTGTTTTAAAACTCGGACCAGACTGGTCGGCTTGATCGGTCGAACCGGGAACCGACCAAGTGTCCGTTCCGAGTTATGCTAAAAAATCGGGTAAGTAAAAATCCGGTCAAAAATCGGATTTGACCGGAAAAAAACCGGATTTTCCGGTTCAATCAGCATTTAAAAAAAAACTCAAATTTTTTCAATATTATGTTTTGAACCCTAAATTGTTAAAAATTATTAATATACCTCAAATATTTTATATTTTATCAATATTTTCTTAAAGTTTGGTGTTATTTTTCAATTAAGTCCATAATTTTAATTCTAAACTTGTTAATGCTCATTAAATAATATAAATTGCTACTTGATTGTTCTAATTTCTTTGTATTTTCTTGTTAAATATATTTGAAATATCAAATATATATATGAATATACCTTTATTAATATTAACATGTTATTAGGTATTTTACATATAATATTTTAATTTTTAAATAATTTTTATTTATAACGTCATTCGGTTCAACCCCTATCGAATCCGGTTGAACCCATTGACCCCTGACCCCTGAGTTTGACTGAGTCGATATCCGGTCCGATTCTGAAAACATAGGAAATTTCATGTCCTTGTGCCTTAGAAAACTATAGGTTTGTGGTTACTTTAAAGGTTTCTTATATTTTTTTAAAGAAAATTATTGTGTTATGTGATTTGCATTATGTTGCTCATTAAATAGAAAATTTTATATCAGTTCAGATTAACTGCTTGGCAGGTTTAATAGTTGCTCCAAAGCAAATGAAATAGTTCCACGTGAATATATAAGAGCTCCCACTAAATAGATGTAATATAGTTTATGTGAATATTTTTGTCATGTACTACATTTAGGAAAGACAAGAAAGAAATTTTGATATTAATTTTGCCCCCACTAAGAAATAGGAAAAATGGCCAATTTCATCCCTATACTTTTGTTCTTGTGCCGAATTAGTCCCTTTATTTTATTCTTGGCCAATTAGATACCTTAACTTAATATGCAAGTTCAATTGAGACCCTCCATAGTGGCGCCACCAAGAAATATCAAGTGGGCATGAAATTGACCACATAGAGAGGGCTACTTTCGGAACATCACTTATGGGCCTTCAATAAAGCCAACTAAAATCACTTCGTACACAAGATTAAACTCTGAAGAAATACCAAACTGAAAGTGACTTATGTAGAAAATAATTAGGGTTTTAATCCAAGAGATATTTGGGCAAAATTCCAGTGATTGATGATGGACAAGAAAGAGAAGGCCGATGGGACTGCAACAACAGACAAAGTGGGGTGCAAATCGAGCATGAAAGGCAATTTCAATGAAGGGCAATCAAGCAGAAATAGTAAGTTCAAATGTTTAGGAATCGATTTTGTTCATTTGTTAACTTGTTTAATGATATGTGGGGTTGGTTTGTTTGGCTTGC